GGAGCTAGTAGTGCCCCATTTTCATGATTGAGGCTCCTCTGTCAAAACAAATATTACTATTTAGTAGGGTATGATTTTTTTAAGGAGTAAACACACTATTGAATATGAGTTGAGGTACTTCTCAGTCTAAGTGATTTTAGAAATTTTTTTGAAGTTTGCAGAGGATGAAATTTCCCAAACTCTACCAATTACACACACCAAAAGCTGAAAACAATCCAAGCTCATCCTCCTTTTCTTAAAGGTTATTTCCTTTAAATAGGCACTAATGAAATCAGAAGAAGAAAAATAGAAAACATGAAAGGGACTAAGGAGATGACCGGAATTATTAAGATTGTAGAAGGTTTACAAGGAGAAGTTACATTTATTTAATGAGGAAAGTTACATTTATTTAATGAGGAAAGCTAGACAATCAGCAAATAAGTCAAACCAAATTTAAAATAATGGAGTTCCGAATACAGGTATATAGCAGTAAGCCTGAACATGTTTATCTAGACTCTGCCCAGATCACACTTGTAGACTCAGTTTGAAACTCAGAAGTATGCAGACTATCTACTTTAAAAAAAAAAAACAAAACAAAAACATTGTAGGAGAGTTGAAACATGCTATGCTGCTACAGAATTATGGGGATTGCATGCTTTTAAACTGAAAATATCAGAGAGTTGAATGCATGTACAGTTAAACTTTTCATAACACTGTGACGTCTTAACAACATGAGAGAAATGTTGTTAATAATAATGAGAAGGTCTATTCCAAGTTTGAAATAAAAAAGTAATTAAAAATTAGTATAAACAACAAAATCAGAAGTTATTTTGCCTAAGAGGCACCTGACAAAACAATATGCCTGCTAGAGGAACTGAGGAAAAGCTCCTGAGACCTGATGAAATCCCAGACAAGATTGAATTTCTGGAGTCAGCTCATCTAAAATATTACACAATATGTTCATGTAATAGCCTCAGCTGCTGCAGCTACAGGGCCTGAAGATTGAAAAGGACAAAAAGGAAAGAGACCACTCAAACAAGACAGATAGATTAAAAAATTATATGCTGTCACTCAAATTTTAATGAAAGCATTGAGATTTCAATCTTTTCACATTTTTCTGTTTCACACAGTACTGTGATTTTTTTTTTAGGCTAACTCAGTAACCACCTTTGTATTGTCAGAGAATTTCATCCTTATTTTTCCATTCTTAGTATATGTGTACTGAAAATACCCTGATATATCAAGGATAGGTCTGATAAATTTACCAGAGATTAGATTCAATTCACTATTGAAGAAAAAAGTTGCAATAAAGTCTCACAAGAATAAATTAATGAATTTTGGTTGTAACTTAACAAATGGGTATATTTGAATGGTTATAAGGAAGAATTCTTCAAATGGATGCCCAGACAGGCTAAACAGAAATCTAAGCAGAGACAGAAAAGTTTATTCTCTAAGCATCAGACATACTGCCCAAATATATCTGCCCCTACACTAAACTTTTGATCATTTTATCTGAGCATTACGCCACTGGGCATACCACAGGCTCCAAGGAAACTGTGGGTTCCAGAGAATCTGTTGAAAATTTTTGTGTATTGACACACTTGCATGCACCCTGACTGGAATTATTCTGACTGGTCCAGAAAGGTGTCTGCAAAACAGAGCATCTAAAGGATCCAGTACAAAAGATTTTATTTTCTTTGCTGAAGCTGCCATGATATACGGTGACAGCATGTTATACTGCTACTCTTTGGGCCCACTTCTGGTTCTTTTCACCAGAAAGTTTTAAAGGTAGATACTTCTACAGTTGATATTTTGAAGCTGGAAACTTGCAGAGTATGCTACATGGCTCCCCTGTTACCACGGACTTGCAAAAGGTGAAGCATGGTAAGAGAGCCTGTGCAAAATCGAAACAAATGAAGCAGCCAGAGCTCTCATTTTAAAAGGTTAAAGAGATGGATAAAAGGAGGCTCTGTCAAAAGGACTAAGTGGGCTTCTGATGTTCTGATTAGCAGCAGGAATCCATTAGGAAGAGCTTGAGTGTAATTAGAATGGAGAGATTAAAAGAAACACAATAGTAGAAGCATTTAGAAAAAATAGGAAGTGCAGGAATAGGCAACCTGCAACATAATCAAAGGAGCATATAGTAGGTGTTTTTAGTAGTTTCTTGTGCAATATAGATTAGAAATAATTGTAAACCATGTAGGAAAGAGTGAGTTATATAAACAGGTACTTCTATCACACCTTTTCTTAGTTTGTCAGCAGAAAAATTAAGATAATCAGTGCAAAATGTATCAGTATCAATGGCATAAGCAAAATCAAATTTACTGAATATAGAAAATGTAAAGAAAATTTCAGACAATTGCTAGAAAGTCTGGAACACAGGTTTTAAAACTTGGCTTTATTTAGAACTCTCTTGAGTAATTTACATTGAATTTGTAGAAATATTACCTCAGCCACTCATGTTCACAGTCTGTAAACTGTGGACATAAACAATGGCATTGAATTGACGGAAACTTAATGTCAAAGCATAAGCCTGACTAAATTAAAAGCAAATGGCATTCTATTTATGAACTCAGGATACAGCAAATATTAAGGTCCACCTTTAAACCAATGAATGCATCCTCAGATTTGCTGAAGCTCAGGCAGTCACCTAACTGTGACAACAATGAGCTCGATTGTCAGCTGAATTATTCTCCAAAAGGTTGATTTAAATATAACACAGCTTATGTATAATTTTCAGTACTTTATACTTCTTACCCAATTTATTTATATTTAAACAACACAGTTTCCTTCATACCACCACTACCTTAGAAGATCTGACCTCTGCATATGTAGAAAGATACTAGAATTCCTAGGAACGTATAATTAATGAGGAAGTTTGCAACATATATACATTAAGTGAATCAGGGAGCTATATCCTTTATTCGTTAAGATAATAGCACATGCAAAAATCACCTATTTAACAGATATTAGCTTAATAAATACACACAACTGTAAGCATAACTGAAATTTTCTATTACTACAGTACTGCTAGGTCTTATTGATAACATGTAATATACTCAAGAAACTCTACATGTGTCTCTCCACTAAAGCCCTACTACAAAAGCATTCAGACTTTGGCAGATCCTGAGACTGACTGCCCACTGTCCCCTCACTGATAACAGTTTTCCTTGCTCATCACTTGTTTTTTTCTTGTTTCTAAATGCAGCTGTTAATTGCTTTAACCTCTAGCTGATTCTCTTGAACTCTGGAAATTTGTATTTTGTTACAACTAAGCTAAACACAATTTTAAATTCCATTCTTATTAATGCAGTTATAACACTGTAAATGAGATTTTTAAGAATATTCAGAAATCAGTCTAAATCTTATACCAATTGGTCTAATTCACAACAAGTAAATATCAGAATTTCTGAAAAGCTGCTACATGCTATTGTCTTCATAATGGAGTCTCCTTCTTAGAATTGTATCCTAAGTACCATACTGTAGTCACTGCTTTATAATATTTAACATAACATTTAACAGTAACTAGAATTTAACAGCAAATCAGTTCAAGGTTGAAAGAATTAAACTGTACTTGGCAAATCTACTTTATTTTGCTACATTATTGCTTTTTACTGAACACTGTAAGAAAGACTGTCACAGCCAGATATCCCTTTATTTTAATTAATGCATTTGTAATGGCATCAGTAAAATTAATACAAAAAATGCAAATCGAAATCCAGTTATTAACATGCCAAATTTTGATTCTTGTGTCTGTATCCATTGCCTCCCCCACAAGATAAATACATGAGAACTTGCACAGCAATTACTCCACACAGCTGTCAAGACATTTTACAAAAGATCCTTTGTAGATGGAGACAGTGAAACACTAAAAAGCAAACACAAAAAAAATTTTCAGATTACAAACTATTTAAAGAACAAGACCAGACTAGAAAGCAATGCACATTTAGTGCACAAACACTTTGGTTTGTAACTAGGTTATCAGATTAAATGCATCATCACCCAGAGGTCTCCTTACAGTCAGTGGCAGAAGACCAGCTGAAAGGCCCCTTGGAGCTGCCCATTAAATCTAAGTGTCTACAGAGTCTGTGTTTCTTTCGTACAGTTCCCATTAAAAACTTACTGTGGGTGCCTTCCAGCTCCAACTTCTGCCCCCCTTCCAGCTCCATGTCCTGCAGCTCAGAAGTAAAGCCAGCTGTACATCTGCTCCCCACCAAGCATTTCTCTGTGAAATGAAAGCTAGATGGACACCACAGCAGTTTCTCTGTGGAATTTTGATGGGAGGACCATACCTACTGACATTCCCAGGCATGCATGCTCTAAAGCCTCCAAGCTGTTCATCCAAATGAAGAAAGAATCTACAAATTACTTTTTTCATCTTCCATTTGTATGCATGAGTGGGCCCCATAGTTAAATTGTTTTCATTGACATTTTACCTTATTGCCTGACTTCCTTCACCATCCCTTGGTTAAATGTGAGCTGCTGGTCCCAAGCAGATTCGAACAGTATTATAACAGAGCTAATTTTTCATCTTCCATTTGTATTCATGAGTGGGTATATAGTTAAATTGTTTTCATTGACATTTTACCTTATTGCCTGACTTCCTTCACCATCCCTTGGTTAAATGTGAGCTGCTGGTCCCAAGCAGATTTGAACAGTATTATAACAGAGCTATTCCCCAGTTTGCTGCTATGATTCCTGTGCTGTCTGACAGCATAACTCCAAATCTATTTACTCGAATGGACTATTTAAAATTCCATGCTCAGTTTCCTGTCTGTGACTGCTCCATCCTAAATTATTAGATTAAAATCCAAAATTGCTACTGTCACTGCCATCTGTAGCAGTTCTGTAAACCTACGAAACAGTTTTATTGCAAGGACACAAACAGCTAATGTTCCAATATAAGCTGAATGAAGACTTTGCTTTAGATAATCCTCCTCTCCTTATATATATATTTAATAAAGACTTGCGGGCCTTGCTGTTTAGGGACGATCTTTAAAATTAATATGTTTCTTTATACATTAATGGGTTCAATAGATTTATCAGCACCTGAAGAGCAAGAAGTTCTAAGACCTAAAGATGCAGCTGAACAGTCACAAGCGCTTTTCCACAGGCCCGTGGTGTCGGTGCTGCGCTGCTCTGAGGTGTCACAGGAGCACTGCTGCCAGAAATGTGGTTTTTTCTGTTTTGTTGATGTCTGTGAGTCTGAGAGCTACACTCTCCGGCAACTTTAAGTTTTGATTTTGGACTTTCCAGAGGTTGTTTCTTTCTCTTACCAAGGGAAAGCCTGGTTTCCTCACACAGAATTTAACCTTTTTATTGACTTTGTTCCATTTTCTTCAGCTCAGCAAGGCTCCTTCTTCGCATGGGGAAGGATTGTGGGATTTCCCCATCATAATGATCACCAGGTTCTTGGACTACTTCTACTTTTTCTTTTATCTCAACCTCACGGGCAGCAGCAGCCCCATTAATTGCAGCTGCCAAAGCAATCACCATGCCGCTGCCAGGACATTACCCAGCACCCGATCAGGTCTCATTCCGGCCTGGCCCCCTCCGTGCCGTGAGGCCGCGCCTTCACCGCCCCGCCGGGAGCGCCGAGCCCCGGCCCGGCCCCCGCCCGGGTGCGGCGGAACGGGGCAGCCGCAGCACGGCCGCCGCGCCGGCGGAGCGCCCAGGCTGCTGCACCGCGCGCCGGAAGGAGCTCGCTCGCCATGGTGCGTGTGCTGGGCTGGGCATGGCGATGGGATTGGGAGTGGGGACAGGAGTAGGGGTAGGGGTGCGGGTGCGGCTCCCGCGGCCTGCGCTTCGGGGGACGCGGTGCTCCCTGCCCCTTCATTCCCTCCGGGAGCGGCCCCACCGCGTCCCTGGAGAGGCGAGCCCGCTGGCGGCCCTGTGGGCCGATACCGGCGGTGAGCCGGCCTCGCACATAAAACCTGCTGCAGTTCCTCCCGGGGGTTCGCGTCCCTCTGGGCCTTCCCGGCAGGGCGGGGGAGGCGGAGTGCCCCTCTGGAGCAGGTGGGATTTCCTGAGATTTCCCGAGGTGTTCAGAGTAGTTGTGTCTTTGACACCATCTCTGTTTTTCGCAGCCCTGAGCGCTGATGCTGTCGCAGAGAATTGGATGTGCTATAGTCCCCGTTTACTGATGGCCATTTATTGTGATGCAGGAAAGCCGCCTTGCTATAGGGTGTTTCTTTTGGGTGCAGTTAAATAGCACATTATTTTATAAAGCCATTCAGTTCTGTTCAAACATTTTCTTACCAGAAAGTAGCATAACATAGAGTAGTATTACCATGCTTTGGAAATTCCTGAGTGGTATTCCCTCTCGGTGCAGCATGAAGGGATAGAGAAGGAAAGCCTCTGGCTGCCCCCTGGTGTGAAGCATTCCAATGATCTCTGGAGAGGAACAAGAAAATAGCTTTTATTATATTGTTCAAATTACATAAGGCTTGTGTCAGAAACTGAGATAGGAGCTTTTATAGGGACATTTTTTTGCAGAGGTACAGAGAGCTAATATTAGTTTCCTAGCTGCAGAGTTCTGTGAAGCAGCTATTCTGACAGTAGTCACTAGGTAAGATGTACACAGCATTTCCTGTGCTCTAGTGGTTTTGTTACAGCATGTACTGGCTTCAAGTAATTTTGTTACTGAAGTGGGTGAAATTGATCACATGTTACTGAAAGTTGAGGGCTTTCTTAGATATCAGTGCATGACCTTTTCAGTCTTTACTGTGGTGTGTACTTCTGTCTTCCCTTTGATGTTTTACTCAGCCTTGTTAGTGCATAGTATCTTTGATGTCTTTTCAGCCAAAGTTACGAAAACCTCAAGGAGGGAAGCAAGAGAAAAAAGTTATCCATCCCTACAGCAGAAAAGCTGCACAGCTTGCAAGGGAAGTACACAAACAGGAAAAGAAAGAAAAGTAAGTTGACTGCAAAACCTCTGTGCAGATCAAAGAATAACATCACAAATGATACTTTTTATTTGTGGTAGGGGACATGGACTGTTGTGCTGATATAACCACAAGAAAACAGAAGGGCCTGTACAACTTAATACTGCTCTTGGGTCATGTGAAGTGACAGGTTTACATGCATTAAATCACCTTATACAAAGTGTAGTTCTGCTGCTTTACTTTGGGTGTTGTCATTACAAGTTAGATTTCTTGCCTTTCATAATCTGAATAGCACAATGCTGGTGATTTCACATGAAGGTGAGTCACCTAGTTTGGCTTTACTTCAAGTTCAGTAAGAATCCTGCTTAGGGCCTAGCTGCTTCTGCTGAAATGCTGACTTAATAGAAAAGAAAACCCAGAAACCTTCCTGCAGAAGACAGACTTCTGAATAAAACTGTTAATTCCTCTTTGGTGGTTTTGTGCTGTTCCATGGCCAGTTTGTTTTACTTCCCCCTCCCAGAGAGGGAAAAGACAGCTGGTGAAGACTGGCCTTTAAATTACATTGTTTCAGCTTGCTTGTTGTTATGCATAAATATGTTTATTTAGGAAGTTACTAAAGCTAGCTTAAAGCATTTTTGGTCTAAGTATAGTATAGCACTACATAAACTATATAATGCTGTATAAATTGTAGTGTCTGGATGGACCATGTGAGCTGAGCCCAAATACTCATTTGTCTGAAGGTGTTAAATTGGAAACTCCCGGTCCAGAGACTGTGCAGTTTTATTGTTGGGATTGATGCACAACCTTACGCACTGCAGTTGCACGGTTGCTTTCCCTGGAATGGGGGCCTTTGCTGCCACAGTGGGGTCATGTGCCCTCCAGCAGGGCTGCTGCAAGAATTCACAAGCAGCCAGTGTTGATTGGGCAGTTTCTTAATGTTTTCCCTGCTGTTTCATATTTTTTCTGTGCTCTCTGACTATTGATAATAAATTTTTATTGCAGATTATTTTCCCTACTGCTAAATTGACCACTTTGTCCCTTAGCTGTCTCACCTTGTGTCATAAAAACCACTCACAGCTCTTAATCACATAAGATTACTTAATCTTACTTGATTCCTAGTGCTTGCATTCATGACTTCACCTTATAGAAAAACATGCACAAGAAAACTTAGTGAGGGAGCAATACTTACTGGTTATTCATTATGACATGGCACACGTAAAGCTTTTAGTGACAGTCTGGTGTGGTTAGAGTTATACTGATATGGACAACAGTGCTGATGTTTCTGTTTGGAGTGCTACTTTTTCTTCCTCTTGCAAGAGCAAAAAGTTCAAGGGCCCTGCTGAAATTGAGATAGACAATATCCATTGCTTTTCCCTCATCCATCTAGGCAGTTGTTTCATCACAGAAGGCTATCAGGTTGGTCAAACGTGACTTACCTTTAGTGAGTCCATCTGACTGCTCCTGATCACCTCCTTGTCATGCATGTGGATAGAGATGGCCTCCAGAATGAGGTGCTCTGTTGCCTTTACCGTGATTTAGGTGGGGCTGACTGGCCAGTAGTTCCCTGGGTTCTTCTTGCCATCTTGGAAGACCAGGGTGACATTTGTTTTCTTCCTCCTCTCCTCATCTCCACAAGCTTTCAAAGATAATTGTGAGCAGTTTAGCCATGGTGTCAGCCAGCTTCCTTGGCACTCATGGATGCATCCTTCAGGGCTCATGGCTTTGTGGATGTCAAGCTTGCCTGGGTGTTCTCTAGCCCAATCCTCCTTGGCCAGGGGAAAGTCTTCCCTTCTGAGATCTCTTAACCCTGGTCAGAGATTCCTGAGGGCTGCTCTTGGCAGTGAAGGCCCATGCAAAGAAGGTGTTGGGTATTTCTGCCTCATCTCTCCTCTGTTGCCTCCTCAATTCAGTAAGATTTCTACATCAGCCTTAGTTTTCCTTTGGTCACTTGATGTATTTGAAGAAGCCCTATCCTTGCTATTTCAATCTAGGCTGATTGTAAAAGATGTAACCTTTCATTTTGCATAGGGAAGCCATTCCACCAAGAATAGTGTGTCAGTTTTTACCATCCACAGCATATTGTGATAGAAAAATGATCTTCTATTTTGTATCTGTATATCTTATAAATAAGATTTCTACATCTTACACTTCTGGGGCCTGAACAGTTAACTAACATTCTGTACTTTGTAGATAGATCACTTTTGTTGTGGTGTTCTACAAATCACTTGCATTAACAACATCCTCCAATTCTCTGTTTTCTATTTTCTATATTGTCTTGGCTTGAAGAGGAATTTAATTTGAAAGATATGAATAATGTTGATTTTTTTTCCCTTAGTGTTTTTAAAAGACTTGTTAAGAGTTCCAGTTTCTTTTGAATCTCTATCTAAACTATCAGCTTGGTAAATTCTCAGGATTTTTTTTTTAATATTTGGAATTAAATACATGTTGAACTTTTTATTGTAATTACTTAGCTTTCAGTTTCTGTAATATAATGGTGAGGCTTGGATTCATTTTGCATAGCTCTCAAAAAAGACAAGACAAATTTCTGATGCTGTGAATGGAGGAAAGCTTTCCACTCCTACACTCTTGGGAAAAAGAAATAGCTCACACCAGTTTTATTCTTCTGCATTGCTTCTGCAGGTCTATTAAATGTCTTTAAACAATTTTCCAAATTGCTTCTATTGAATGACTGCCCTGTTCTCTGGTGGAAGGTTAGTACATCATTTGGTGGTAAATAGAAGCTGCCTTGTAATCTCTACAGAATTTTCTTCCTTAGTCCTGTCCACAAATCTGGCATTTTTCTTACCATGCTTGTGATTGTGTAGAAGTTGTCTGAAGTATGAATACGACACAAAACTAGAAATGGAATTCTCAATGTGATCTGACTAGGTGTGAGTGAAGGGGATAATATCTCTGTACAGACTAGTGCATTTCTGCAGAATGGAAAAACTGGATTAGAGTATTCAGTGACTGTTGGAAGTCCATAGAGGTCATATGTTCTGTTTTTATTAAGCTGTGGATTTCCTTGCCAGAGGATGCTTTAATTGTGTGGTAATACGTTTTTGAACATACATAAATTTTATCTGTTGATTAGTACTTAACACAAAGGTGTAGGGTGTAGGAAACCCTTGAATGGTATGTTACTGGAGGGTGAGAATATTTATCTTTTATAGAAGTATCAATGTTTTTGGGTTAATGTGGTTTGTTTATTTTGTTTTGCTTGTTTTGGTTTGGCTGGGTTTTGTTGTTTTTTTCCTTTGGTGCTTGTCTGGAGACAGCATTCAGGACTGGAGACAGTTTAGGCTTCTATTTACTTATTAACTTTCCTATAAGATGGAGGGAAGGAAATATCTACTGTGAATGCTCCTGTTTATGTTATACAGAAAGGAAAATTGCATCAGGTTATGAGATGCATATTGCAGTATCTTGCCCAAACGAAATAGTAAAAAAGGGTAGAGATTATGCACAAGGAATTTGAGTATTTAAAATGCAGCATTGGGAAAAACGAGGGAGAAATTCTGCATTAAGTCACAGAAGTCTTTTATGGGCTCCAATGTCCAGTCTTCACTGCAAGCATTCGTAACGAAATATGACAGCAGTTATAAGTTTACTGTCCAGAAACTGTGTCTGCACTACAAAAGACCAATCTTAACCATAATAAGAGAGACAGACCAATTGCTTTTAGAAAATTGGCTACAATCTTAAATCATCTTGTTCACTTCAATTACACCTTTTTCTTGCCTGCATCCATCTCCTCTCAATTCTCTTCAAGGTCTAATGAGCAGCAAGAACTTCCAGGGTATTACTACCAGTTTATTCTCTCTTAATTTACATGTGAATTCTTATTCCTTTAGGCAGCTTGTTTGCTCTGTTAAATGATTACGTGGATGTTTTTGAGATAGCTTCTTCACTGCTTCACTGGCAGTAGTAGAACACTGACTTTTCTACACTTTAGGAAACCTGACCATAGTGGGAAATTAATGAAACTTCTGTAGTAGTGATATACTAACACCAGCCATGTTTTCCTACAACTGTAAAAATACCTATCTGGTTTTGGCACCTAAAGCTAATCTAGCTGTGAGGTTTTTTTTTTCTGTTTTTTCCCTCCTGAATCAAAATAGACCCTTTCTATTGTGCATGCACGATACATTTCTTAGTAGTCGGTGCATTTTCATTACAGATAAGCCAGTCTAATACTGACATGCTCCGAGATGTGACATCTAAGGAGTTTTTACAGTGATGGGGCATGAAGCAACCCTTTGGGAGTAAGCAATCTTAAAATGTCTCCTGGTAGAACTCTATGTGTTCTTTTTCTGAGGTTTTCTCCTGTTTAACTTCATAATCTCTCTTGACCCACTGTGCTTCTACTTGCATTGCATGTGGCAGTGGTGCTTTGTGACATACTATTGCAGATTTTTCATGAGGAACTGAAAAACTGTTAGCTTTTAAAATGATTTCTTTTGAAAAGCCTATCTTCATTTTCAGAGCCATAGATAGCATTTCTATTTGTGGATATTATCGGGGAAAAATACTGAGTTCGTAATTTGATTTGGAAAATACTTATTCATTGTTAGTATTTAGAGTAGAACAGTTGAATATAGTATCTGAGATAAAGAGCTGCTGAAGGAACATGTAGAATTTACCTTTAAAGTACCTAGTAAGCATCAAGAAAACAACTAATCATTCTTACTAATAATCAGTGTCTAAGCAGAGGATTTCTGGAAGGTGGGTGAAGAAGAACATCATCAGGAAACAAAAGCCTGCCACCAGGCTGTGTCCCTGGCCTTGCCTCCCCTTCCCCGAGCGAAAGCTATCACTCATTGTGTGGAAGGAGAGGAGAGGAAGTTTCTTTGACTCACCTGATTTGATTAGCCTCCCGGCTAATGCTATTGTCTTCTAGCAGTCACTGAGGTGAGGTTTTTATGAAAAGTACAATAAGGCAACATTAGAGACTATCATTCATTATTTCTCATACTGAAATTAGTTGTGTGCACCAAGAGACTGAAGGTTTTTTGTCCAGAAGAAAATGGTGGTTCTTTGCTGCTTTGATAAATAAATGACTTAGTGGCCCTCAGCAGGTGCAAATGGTAGTTTGTACTGTTTTAGAATGTAGATGTGTGAAATGATCTTGTTTAGGCAGCTTTCCCAGATGCCATGCCATTTTCTCTGTGGCAAAGCTTTCAAGACGGGCTCGTCTGGCAGTGCTGCCTTGCAGGGCTCCCAGCAGGAATTGCTGGTGTGGAGTCCACCGAGGGAAGTGTGTGTCCTTTTCTTGGATGCTGTTACCATCCAAAGGTCCCTGCTGAAAGTCCTCTGAGGATAAAAGCCTGCCCAGCTTTTATTGAAGGCTTCTTCTGCATATGCTGGGGTATCCATAGAAGTAAAAATTTCTATAATATGTTAGTGGAATTCTTAGCAGCTCACATATGCTGTGCATTTGCTTGTACATGGCTTTTAGAGAGTCTTCAGAGGATTAAGTACTTCTTGAAAAATCGAATAATTATTTCATAATGTAGGTTTGTGGACAAGTGACACAAGTGTGTTTGTCTCTGGAAAGTAAGGGTTTATCTTTTGATCCCACTTTTGTGGTAGGTAACAGACTTCTGTGCTCTGAGTTACTTCATGTAGCTCTAAAATGCTCATTAAATTTTACAGAGTAAAAGGAATTTAATAAAGGAGCACAATAGCTTTGAATTGTGATTAATTTTAGCATTATTTATTCTTTGTCAATTTAAGCATTTATTATTTCTTAATCCATTACCAATTTTCCTATTTAATAATAAGTCAATTTTATCAAAGGTCCTTGAATATATACACTGAATATTCTTCCAGTGAAAAATTTCATACTTACCCCAATAATGTCTTGTTTTCCTTTCTGGAAACAGTGGAACATTGCAACGTCCTTTGATGCACATCGTATCTGACACCTTCAGGACAAGAGTATGAGGCACAGGATTTCCTGCTAGAGAACTCCTCTTCTTTGAGAAATGCTAATTAGGATGAAAATTAATCCCAAATAGAACTGTATACTCACATTTCATAATGTACAGAAGGCTTTTGAATATTCTGCCAGAGATTCCAGTGGACTTAAAAGTACTGTGAGACGGAGTTGGGGAGTTTTTGAATGAAGTGGTTAATTTTGGTTTCTTAACATATTAACTTACTATTCAGTAAGCACAGGCTTTAATGATGACAAGTTTTAAGGTAACAGAATGTTATTTTTCACATTGCATGCTTGATTTGCTAGAATGCAGTGCAGTGAAGTCTCCCAACTCATTGAACATACCAGAAGAATATCAGGAATGCTTAAGAAAATTGTGACAATGCAGCTCTTTTGTGTAATTCCTTTTGTTGCACTCTGAGAAAAATGTTGTGTCTTTTTTCCTTCCAAGAAACTTTTTTGCTTAATAGGTAAACTGCACAAATTTCAGCTAGTAGTTTTACCAGAAAGTAGATCTTTTGGGTGAAACAGAAAAATATTTACATTATTTGGAATTTGTCAAATATTTCTATTTGAAATTATACGTGACTTTCATTATGACTGAAGAAAACCCCAAACTTTTTGAGAATAAAATTAAGGTTGTTGTTTATATGGTACTCATTCCTGGCTAACACATCTGGTTTTTCTCTGCTAGGTTGAAGACTGACAAAGCTTTGCGTTTAAGTATTATTGGTAAGCAGAAACTTCTATTACTGACCACAGTATTCAGTTTCTTAGTAGACATTCAAAGTTTTACCAACTTTTTAGATGTCCAGTTAGAGCTTCTTCTTCTATGATCTGATTCTGTAGTCTTCAAATAGACTTTGTTGAAATACTGAAATACCTGATATGCCACTTAATATATACAGGATTGAATTTGGGGCTGAGCATAGCTCATCTTTAGTCAGTGTACACAACAGCAGGGCAATATAGACTAAACAAGTGTTTTGTACATCTGTACACATATTTATTGTATTTGGTCTCCAAGCTCTTTATAACTGCTTGTTAAAAGAAGATGATATATGTAGCTTAAAAGACACATTGTGTTAGCAAGTAAATTCAAACTTGGAGACACAACCTGGAATATTTTTCTCTTCCATATGATTGATCCTGCAGCTTTTCAATTTAATCTGTTTAAAAACAGATGTGACGATCAGAACTCTTACTCAGCCACTGTGTTGGTTTTTTCCTCCTTTCTAAGTTTTCTTCCTAAGTAATTGATATAGTGATATTTTAGTTAATTTCCAGTAAAACAAAGCAAGCCTAACATCTTTTTTTTTTCATGTAAGGGAGGTGTAAAATAAATCTGAAAAGATGTGGAAATGTTTATATTACAGCGGCCTTCATACCTGGTGCCCACAGTATCAGAGTCTGTGATGCCATTCAAAAAGGAGGGGGGGGGGCATTTAAAAACTTTGAGAAACTTTAATATGTATTGATGCTACAGTGGTGGTGTAACCATTAATATTAAGTTTATTTTTGCAGGAGAAAAACTGCAATGGTTTCAAAGTCACCTTGATCCCAGTAAAATCGAGTACACAAAGAAGGAAGCTGGTGAACTAATTGAAAAGTAAGACTGGTGTTAAAAACAAGATCAAAAAGCTTGACTTGTCTTTAAAAATAATGTGATGATGACTCAGAGGAGGACTTTTATATATTGGTAATTATAATATCAAGTAGTTGATATTTTGTTGCCAGTGACAAATATTGAGAGATGTATATAGTCATACTAGAATTATTCAAATAATTAATTTTGTAGTTTGGGGTTTTTTTTAATTATTGAAGTATATCCCTAGTTTTGTAGTGTGTGGAGGACTTTAAATGGTTTAGACAGTAGTAATCATATGAATTTGCTTGTTGGGTTATTCTGTGACACCTGAACACTCAGATTTCATACTACTTACTCCTTGAGTCTCCAATAAATAAAGAAAATAAATACAATTAGTAAACTAATTTATCACAGTAAATCTGTTTTGCAATTATTTCGTATGACTGCATCAAGCTTTTATGCATTTTATTTCTTTCAGTTATATGTGTCGATTTAATGCTGAATTGGAGCAGATTGAATTACAAAACAGTATTAAAGGCAGACAAGGAAGACAGCATGGTTCACGGGAAACTGTCATCAAGCAGACAATAGAACGTGAAAGACAACTCTATGAGGGCTATGGAATAGGTATGTAAAAGTATTGGAAAGAATTCGGTCCTCACACCTGCTCACAAGGCCAGAATCCAAGCAAACTATCTAAGCATTGTCCTTATTTTTCTCTTTAAATAAATTACCTAAGTGCTAGGTGCTTGTGCCTTGCAGTTTTTTGGGAGGAGGGCCATGGTGAAGAAAAGGAGAAAAAAACATGGTGGAGATCTGACTCATACATTCTACTTTTGCCTTCCTTTGTGCATCTTTGCTACTAGTGTCTTGTCAGTGCAGGCATATATAACCTATTGTTATATAACAATAATGAGCTTTTAATGCACCTGCTTTGAATTCTGTACAGCAGCTGGTTGGACCTTAATTTGATGGCTGGAACTAGGTTGAAGGGAAGCAGCAATAGTTTGGTGAAATAAGAAAGACAAAGAGATAATTAAAGTACAAGAAGCAAAGAGTTGTTTGGGGATAGTCAAGATAAGCAGTGAAGTGTTTGTATTTTGCTTTAACCAATAATGTACAGGTTGAAGCTGAGTGGTTAACTTGGCATTAATGTTAAAGTATAATCCACACATAATTGATCCTTCTAATAGTAAAATATGTTGTGGAAAATATGAAAAATCTACAGTATTCTGTAATTAGGATTCAAAGCAGAGCAAGGTTTGGGTTGTGTGTCATATTCCCTGGTCCCATAGCTGTTCCAGCTATGTTCCCTCCCAGCTCCTTGTGCCCCCTCAGCCTCCTCACTGGAGGGCTGGGGTGAGAAGCAGAAAGAGTCTTACCTGTGCAAGCCCAGCTCAGGAATAATGAAAACATCCTGGTTTTATCAACACCATTTCCAGCTAATCTAAAATGCAGCCCTGTACTAACTATAGTGAAAAAAATTAACTCTACCCTGTCCAAAATCAGCACACCCTGATATGTATTGTACAAACCAAGAAATTTAATGACTTTAAAATTTGCCAGTGCAGCCAGCAGAGGAATTTAAGAATGTCTGTATGACTTCATGCATCATCTTTGATGTCTTAGAAGAAGGGGGAAAATGTCATAGGAAAATCGACTCTGTGATTGTCTTTAGCTTAATTGTAGAATGTATTCCTTTTGGGTTTTGCTTTTAAATTTTAGTTCTTTTTGTTTTTATTGCTTTTTAGAAAGCGGACAGAAAAGGCAGTAAAGCTAGAGAAAAAGATGTCAAAAGCACAAGCACAACATAAAAATAATGAAGAAGCTAGAAATATTGTAGGCAAAATTTGAGGTTATTATAGAATTAGTAAGTAAAGCATTCAGAGAGCACAGTGCAACTTCACATATTGAATACACTTTCATTCATTATTTGTTATCACAGCTGCTGCAGGTTTTGCTCTCTGTCTAGGACAGTGTTCATTCAGAGAAAATAGTTGCTGCTAAGTACTATAGCAACTAAATACTGTAATTAGAGATTGGGCATAAATGGAAATCAGCTGGAAACAGTGCTTTTATGCCTCTAGCTCATTATTAATCCTAGAAGCTTTAGTGAGTGGAGCTTTTATAACTGACTTAGATTTGTTGGGTTTTTTCCCCTTCTGTTCTTGAATTCAGTTATTTCTTGTATGCATGTGCATTTGCTATGAAGAGACTGCATAACATGTATTCTTTTCCTTTAGGGAAGTCTACTAAAATTTGATGTAGTCTATTTATATCATAGGATCAATTAGGCTGGAAAAGACTTCCAAGGTCATTAAATCCAACCTTTGACCAAACACCACCATGTCAGCTAGACCATAGCACTAAGTGCCACATCCAGTCATTTCTTGAACACTCTCCAGGCTGCTGATTCCTCCGTCGTTTCCTTGGGCAGCTCATTCTGATGCTTAACCACCCTTTAAGTGAAAAACATCTGTCCTGACATCCAACATGAACCTTCCCTGCGTGTAGCTTGAGGGCATTTCCTCTTGTCCTGTCAAGGATATATGTAAATGAAAAACTAGCCCTTTACAAAATGTAAGGATTTGTTTACAAAAGTGGTAGACATCCCGAAATACAGTAAATTTTAGTCTTTTTTTAGAGAAACTAGCTATACAGGGAACATTATCAGTGATGATGTTGAGGTTTAGCAGCTCCTTGTCACTTGCTCCTTAAAATATATCTACACTAGTTTCACTGCAGTTTTCTTCCTCATGTTTTCATTTTTGTGTATTTGGGTTTTCTGTTTAATCTGGTCTTACATGTTTATAGCAAAGCTATTGAAAGGCAATGCTAGATACTTATTTATTTATTTGTAACCCAGAGTTAGTATGCATTCAGTGGAAAAGCATCATAATTATTTCATTCGAACATCATCCATTTTTGATTATTCACTTCTAATTACCTTGCATGTTCTGTCAGATGCAGAATACTAATCTTGGGGGAAAGTCGCTTTTAAAACTAAATACACTAGTTTTATTAATTAGTTCTGCAGGCTTCACATTACAGGGAAATCAATTTAATTCGGATGAAAGCTGTATCATTTCCACTTATCTGCTAATGTAACTTCTGTACTAATCGTTAGCTGCTGTTTTCTGTAGTGATCATTATTGTATAACCAAATAATTTTTTGCATAAAGAGCATCTACAGTTTCATACTTTTTAACAGGCTGTTTGTTCATCCTCAAAAGAAAGAAAAGTAAAACTATCTGAAAGGGTCAGAAACATTAAAAAATGTTTACTTACCTCCTTCACTGCTGTTTTGCTAAACGCATAAATTGTTGAATACTTTGTCTTAGAAATGCCAGACAATAAACTACTCCCCAAAATTCTGTCTTCATTTCATTCCCACTAATTCTTGTTCCATATTTCTCTCTTATATTTTCTTCTTTTGTTCAGAAAAACATGCTCCTATGACTTAACATTTTAAAGCAAATGAAGTTCACAAGTAGCAGCAAAAACCATGACATTGGTTCATGCTAAGGAGATGCAGCTGAGTTATACAAGTGTTACTGATCCAGCATAATTTAGAAAATCAGTTACTGTGCAGTATATAATTACTTTATTTCTACACACAGCTCTATTAATCTTGCAACTCAGTAGTTTTTATTGTGTAACATATTGTAAACACACATGTAACCGTAGCTTAAAAATTTTGCCACTGCCAAAGCAGTAAACATGAATTCTGTGCCAAATCTTGATTTGTCACAGAATCTTCTCTCAGAATGCCTGCTTTCTCATGATGTTGGTGAGCCCTGATTGATAGGCTAGATAAAACTGTTAGAATATTCTCTTTGGAAAAGGTCTGCTTAACTTAAACCCATTAAATGTTTTCCAAAAAAAAAGGAAAACAAATGAAAGGGCTTAATTTGAAAGCCTTGTCATGTAGTCCTGGTTTGTCTGACAAGAACACTAAACTATGTTGAATCAGTGCTTTTATCAAAGGGAAAAATACAAATCTCAGCATGGTGCCCCTTCTGCCAAACTCACTGTTTACATCACTACATGCACTACTGGGGAAACAGAGTAGCACTGATTGCTCTTTGTAAAATACCTGGGAGAAGGGAAGAAGAACTTTGCCTTGTTGGGAGCTGGGGTGTTCTAGTGTTTGGCACTGTGCTGCCATGAGTGCAGCTCAAGAGACTGCAAAGAAAGCAAGAGCAACCATGGCTTTGTTTCAAAGCTCTATTGGGAAGGAAGGACCTAATGTGGCATGGATATTTGGCATGGATTGTGGCATGGACCCAAAGAATCAGCAGACCAAAGAAGCATTAGGTAAATGTTTCTTTGCCTTGCTCAGCTGTGAGCAGTATCACCTCATCTGTTTACTGAGGAGCAGTCTGCAGAAATCACTGTAATTGTTACCAAAATATTTCACATATATTATTGTTCTTCAGTTGGTAACTTCATAGCCAAGTGTGAAAGGAAGGAATGGTCTTCTGAATAGTTAGGACTGTCTGGCCACAAAGATAAATGGCACAAGTATCATCATGCTATGTTTTGTAGTAGCAAAATCAGTATGATTTTATTTAGTATGATTTTATTTATTACGGTATGATTTTATTAGTATTATTTTATTTATTACTGTAAAACTTGAGGAAATTTATAGGTGAACAAAAGTAGAACTGTTTTCAAGGACAGTATAAAAGTTGCTGAATTGTCACAATTTTAAGAGCTAAAATAAAGTGGATTTAATTTAGAAAGGTAGAAAACATCTGTCTTGTTGAGAAGCCTGCTGGCTGTGAAATCTGTACAATTCATAGACAGTAATGAGGTGTTTTATACAGTGGGAAGATGTCAAGGCTCCTAAGGTATAAATTTCCATAAATTAGTAGTAATTTTAAAAACAGGTTCCTTGTAACACTGCAGGACTGACCAAGAAAAGAATGACACAGAAGGGAGGCAAAGCAGCTTTGGCATCCTATGTAAAATCTGCCTAAATTTATAATTTATGCTCTAGTAGGAAGATTTTGGCTACTTCTTAAGGAAAAAAGCTAAACGGTCTGTTCTACAGGTCTCAATACAAAACATTTGCCTTCCTTTTTACTAGCAAAGGTAATACAGATATGTATTATTGGTTTATTTACTTGTATTATTATTATTTATTATTTGTTTATATGTATGGTAGGTTTCTTTTAGAACAGTCTGACTGCAGTGGAAAGGATGCATGTAGCCATTTTGGTTAGAGGCCATTTAGCTCATATTTGAAATGAGACTCACTTGAATAATGTAACACATCTAACAGAATTTAATTTCTTTCCTATTAGAAATCCCAGACATTATGAACAGAAAGCATCTTAAATTTTTCAGGTAGGTTTTTTGTTATCTCTAATAATCTGCTTATGCAAAATAGTGTTTCTGAAGTTCACACCTGTTGTATGTCTAGTCTCATAAAAAAAAGGAACTTATGCAAAACTGCCAAGGAATTTGTCATTTGAAAGAGCACAGTAGGTATGGCACTGCTATTTTGGCCTTTCTTAGTTGTTACAAGCTGAACACCTGTGCCAGTTATTAGAACATTGGAGGATTATAGATTTGACAGTTAGAATTCCATTTCTGTAACTTAAGTAGCTTTTTTGCTCAATATTCTTAAATAATATTTTACCTAAAATTCTGACTTGGGCTGTTCGTAGTAGTTGGTATGTGTGTATATACTAGCTGAAAATCTTAAATGAATTTACAACGTGCATCCAGTTAAAAGATCTGGGAGCTTTGAAACTTGCTGCTGGCTCATTTGGGCCAGCATGTTGGTATGTCCTGGTAGTAGATTGGGTGAGCATTTTTGCTGACAGCTCTATCAAGTGAAATACTTTAAAGGAATAAAAAACCCCAACAACTCAGGAATGCTTATGTTGCAAGGAATGCTATATCACTGACTTGCAGGGATGGTATGTAGCCACAAGTCATATTTACAGGATGTTGGAATAAAGCCAGAAATTCCAAAGAGAGACTGCTCTATTTATAAATTTGCAACTGACTTCTTAAACAGGGACATCAGATAGAAGTAAAGGAAAAACATATCTTATTATTGGCAGATACTGTCTTTGCCCTTGAGAAAAATTATCCATAAAGTGCACTTACTATAATCAAGAAAGCATTCTATTGAGTGAGTACTGGGTTTGACTTATATTTAAAACAACCCGTTTTCCTTCATGCAGCCTTTTGAAATAATACACTCACCATGTGTATTAATGTTTACTAACCCTTTATGTTCTCTTGAAGTCAGGCATACAAGTTAACATTAACCATAAATGACCAGGGACTTACGTACATGTGATGTCACATATGCAAATCAAGCATCCAGATGAAGAAAGTCTTCTGACCTTATTTTCTCTTGCTTACCAGACTGCAAGTTGAATAAGATAAACCTAAAAGCAGGTGGCCAAAAGTAACTGAGGGTACAATAAGTCTGTGGGAATTAAATGAATCATATATTTTTGTTTCAGAATATCACATCTGAAAGTACTTTTTTCTTCACAGAGAAATGACAGCTTCTGTAGTGTACAAAATCAGGTGAAATCTTTGTTGCTGATTCATGCCACAGTGGGACAGAGAATTACTTAGAAAAGCAGCCTCACTTGAGTTAGCATCTTCTGAGGAAATGTGAATTAACTCTGCCATTACTTCCTTTCTATTGCTAACTGGTTTTCATTACCTATTTTTTGTCTTTTAAGAGAATGGGATGGTGATCTGAGGAAACTGCCAAACATCAAAATGAAAAAGCTCTCTGCTAGGGATGCTGCCTGCAGTCTCCCTGAGGTGACAGATGCAGAAGCAAAAGAAGATTTGAATGAAGAAGAGGTGGGCGCTGATGAGCACCAGCTGATGCAAGAGCTGAAATAGTGAAGGGAATTGTAAGAAATCTATTTTAATTTTCACTGGAAACAAAAATAAAATTTAACTATATTTCTAAAGGCTTTGTTAGTTCCTTTTTTATTATCTGTTTACCTACAGTGAAGAGTAAACAAGGTTACTGGATAAAGCTGTATATTACTGAATAAATTTTTTTTACTATAAAGAAATAATTATAACCTTAACCATGTAAGTTTATGTCTTGAAATCCCCTGACTAGCTAAGTACCTTTTCTGTCTAGATTCAGACTGGAATACTTGGTGGTCAGAAATCCTTACCTTTTTGTGGTAACTGCAGTAATCTGTTAAACATGAGGAACTCTTCTCTTTGTACTTTTTCTTTGAGAATCTGTGTCAGGATCATAGAGATCTGGAAATGTTCAATAAGATACTGAGTATTTTATGTTTTGTCAAGAGAATTTGAAAGAGTTACTGTCCTCAGCAATCTGTATTACAGAATTCAGATAAAAAGCCAATCAAAGTCCCTGCAGTCTGTTTTTAAATATATCTTAGTCCATATTTTTTCTCTAACCCTTTTGTTGAGAATTGAATTGAAGCCGCTCAGGACTTTTCAATAGTAGGCTTGCTTTATGAAGCAACTCTTTAGATGCTTTTAAATGTGTCTTTCAGGAAAGTTTTTAGCAGATTATCACTTTAAAAACTGTAAAATGAATAAAAGAAGGAAAAAGGGCAAGGGCAGAATTTGGGATAATTTCACAGCAGGCGTTAAGTGGGACATCTCAGTGCATGATAAGTTGTCTGGGCACAGAAGTCACAGTTCAGCTGAACTGTTTGTACACATGGCAGTAGTCACAGCTCAAATGCCTGTTAATTATGTGGAAATTATTATTCCTGGTGGATGATCTTTCTAGTACATGATCCCTAGTACACTTCTGTGTGCTAAACAGTCAAGTCTTTGTCATAGTAAATAGTTATGTGGGTATCTTAGAATTCTTTTACAGACATCCAGGTATGTATTTTCATAGCTGTGCAGCAAGAGTTACTGATGAATGTTAAATCTTCCCTCTTTACTAATAGGCTTGTTCTATCCTTTCATGTTGTAGGAAACCAATCTGTGTAGGTTATATAGAGCTAACAGCTGTCCTCCTTAAATTATTCTAAAGAAGAAACCTGAATAAATTTTAGCAGACCTGGAGTATGGCTGGGTAATGTAATTCATCTTCACGTGGACTGCAAGTCTTAAACCTGGCTAGAGGTCTTGGCCTCTGACACCAGGCACATCTCCAGGCTATCTCATCACTGCTTTGTGTTTGAGAGATCAGTGTACTGGAGTTCATGGCAGGCCTTTGGTATTTTTATATCTTTGTTAAATTGAGCGGTGTGGTTGTGATTTATAAAACTTGAGGTGGTAAACTGGTAGAAGCTGAGCCAGAATAATTGGATTGAACTAAACTTGTGTATATGGTTGTTTCAGTGCCTTGACAGATTTTGCCTTTTGGAAATTCATTTTGAAGTTTTGCTTGTATACAAAGTCTGAGGTTTGAAATTGCAAGTAGAAACACTGAGTCACTTTCCCATGACACTGTGTAAAATATGGAAGGAAAATGAGCAGATAACTCAGTAACTGGGAGGTGTCACAGTAATTACAGTATATTAGGCTGACATCCTGGTGAGTGCTTCAAAAAGATTGTCATGCACTTATGAAGGATGAGATGTTCTATATTCCTTGAAACAATTCAGTAATAAGATGTTATAAAAATCTGTTTAATGTGTGAAATTAAGTATTTTTTAAACATTTTTCATTCAGACTACAACATGATTATAGATCAGATCTTATTTACTTTTTGAATTTTCTTCCTTGAAGTCCATATCATTATTGCTTGTTTAGCTGGCTTTTAAACTGTCTTGTTAAACTGCATAAGTAATGAAAAAAGAACAGTGTCTATATGTGAACTTTTTACACTGAATTATCAGAAAAATCATATGTAGCTGTCAGGTATTCATACTTGAATTTAAAATAATCTAGGCTTAAACTGATGATGTGCAAGACCAGTTTATCAGATGAGTTTTGGCAGTGGGGAAAACAACAACAAAAACCCCCAAAGCCACATATTTATTTATTTATGGGTTTTGTGCTGAGAGTTTTTTGTCCTGACACCTGGAATGGAGGTGGTGGGGGGATGTAGAGAGAGTTTTTTGCCTCATGTGTTACTGAGACAAGCTGCTGGAATCTACTCAGTTAATTTCATCATCCAGTAATGCTTCATAACCAGCTGTTAAACTGTTGTATGTTAATGAGTTTCTTTCCTACAGGAGAAAAAAAGACTAATGCTCTCAGGAGTTCTGAATTGTTATTCTATTTCTTTAAAATTTACAGAGTAGATACTGGTAACAGTGGAAGTGAGAAATAATTATGTGATGTTCTCTGTTCTTACAAACTTGCTGTGGAGAATACCTTGAAATTGTTCTTTTGTAGCCAAGGATTTAATATTTTAATGCTAAATCCTCTGTTCACATTCTCTGTAATTTACAGGGCATTTTTTCTGGTAAAGGATTAATTTTAGGGAAGATTTCTTTCATTCTAATTTGCAAAGTACTATATTGCAGTGTTCCTGTATTTTTTTTAGTTTTCAACTAAAAACTGTAATAGTTAAGATTATTATTTCATTAATTACCATGGCTCAAAGATACAACATTTCAAACAAAAAAGTAATATTTTTACCCATAAAGTCACTTTCATATAAGAACTTCAGGGTTTTTTAGTGTACTTTCCAGTTTATTACAATCTTCTTACTACGTTGTACTTTTACTTCATCCAGCATTGGAGAGGTAAGGAACCTTCTCTAAGGAACTGGCTGAATTACATTCAGACTTTCAGTAGCAGCTGACTTGTTAGTTTTGAAACATACCCTATTGATGGTCTCAGCTGGAAAGAACCAGCTGATTTTAAGTCCAGTAGAAGTGATGATTTTTTTTTTCTTTCATGTAAACAAAGCAAATGTGATTTAAAAAAATGAAAAACCAAAGCCAAACAGAAGACGCTGACATTCTCAAAGCTGCTTGTATACAGTAAATGTAAATTAATTTACAATTCCTTAGTATCGGAAACAAATTAAGCCATTTGTAAGGAGATCTACTTATAGAGTATAATGATGTTTGTCTTTCAATGCAATAACATATTTACTCATCTCTATGATGACACTACCATATTTGAGGATAAAGTCTGGGACCAGAAATGTGTATACTGGGGTTTAACTGTTTTTAAAACTGGGGTTTGCTACACACCTGGCAGACACAAAAGGGTAGTACAAAAAAACCCTTTCTTTTTCTCAGCAGAAAAAGTTCTCTACTTAAGGAACCTTCCAGGTTAGTTTTCTAATAAAGGGCAATAAAATGCTTGCAGTGCAGAATTATATCAGATTGGCTTGTTTGGTCAGTCTCAGCATGATACAATGCATAAATTATCCTTCTAGCTCTTTTAAGAGCAAAAATTCATTGTAGTTGATTTCCAGACTTCTCCAAAAGAAGTGAATTTCATGAAGGTCAGAGACTTTGCTAATGAGGTGTTAGGATTTATGCTCTGCAGTTTAAGCTGTTGTCTTAAGATCACCTGCCAAGGTCCTGTGCAGAGTTCCTCTAATGAAAATAAGCTGATGGTGAGACACTTACCATAATGGTGCTGTAATCAAGTTCCCTAAGCCTTGACTGTCCCCTTTTATTAAATTGGAGGGTTTAATATGTAACTAGTTACCTGTTACAAAGAAAAAATAAAACTAATCAAGTTATTAGACTAAAATGACAGCATTACTTTAAAAACAGAATTGCTAAACAATAAATTGAGCAATAACAATATTGCTAAATAAAAATGGAAGCATCCTACTAATATCAGTTCTTATTCAAGTTAACCCAATTAACAAAGACAGTACCATGCTGATTTGAAAACTGATAAAAGAGTGATGCCAATTGCTAAGATATGAAGTGCTCAAAAAATCTCATCCACACTTTCTAATGAAATATAATATTTTTCCATATGCTAATAAATGGAAATTAATATGTCTTCATTACTGTAACTTCTTTGTTTATGCTGTTTCTTCTGTATCTTGCAAGGATTTGTGAATCCATTTGGATTTACATAGTGAGCTAGTTAGGGCAGCTTTAAGTAAAGGAACAAGTGGCTAGCCATGGATGTAGAGAATGAAATTTGTTATTACGTTACTTCTGTGTTTTGAACATATATTCTTACCAATCACCAGCCATATGATTCCAGCTAGAACTGTGGTATTTTGAAACTTAGCTTGCTGTCTCCCCAGCTGACCATCTACCAGAAAGATCTGGTAGATGGTCAGCTGGGGAGCTGACCCCCAGCTGACCCTGGTGTAGGGGGATCTGTAGAAAACTAAATTTGGACCCTGGTTGGAACATTCTGTCTTAAGTCAAGGTAAGAGATTTTCTTTGGTTTTATGCTTCACAAAATGCACAGGCTTTTTTTATAATGCAAACATGCAATATTCCTTTTCATTAAAAAAGTCATCAGAGTTTTCAAAAAGGAGAAAACCTCACTAAATCAAAGTATAAAATAATACAAAAAGGAACAGGATCCATGCTGACAATGTGAGCTGGGATTAGCTTTGAAGTATTTAACTGTCCAGTCCATATTTAAAGCTTTTATGTATTGGACATTCCAAAATCACTGTAACAGTTTCTACAAAGGCACTGCTTCCTTAGGAAGCTTTCATCCTCTTACCTCCCTGGAGATGAAACCCAGTACTGGTCCATTGTTCCGTGGATGCAAAACCAGTTGCTTTCTAGGCTTCTTTATAGGGTTAAAGCCTGCAAGTTAAGCAACTGTAAGTCTTTTCAAGTGTTTTTGTACTATGAAGTATTTTCCTGAGCATTCTGCCAAGGTGGGGTACCCAGAAGTAGCCCCTTGCATCTTAGCAGGTTTTTTTTATCAGTATTAAGTCAGCAACTGAGTTATATTGTTCACCTTTCTTGCAAGAGTGTCGTCTTGCCAATACATGTTCAGCATGTGATGCTCTAGGTAACCAGGTGACAAATGTAGAGTACTGCAGTACTTTGAGTAATTTGTTTAATACAAATACATTTTTTTCACAACATTAAGCAGATACATTACTTTTGTTTCCCTTACCTTCCGTCTTCCAATACACATTCACCCACAAAAACATACACTTTTTCTTTTGCAAAAGAGAGGGAGTTAAACAAATAACACAAACTTGTAGTTCCGAATATTATACACAGTCAAATATTTTCATCAGAGTAAGTTTCATTGCATTATTGGAAATTATAACTGTTTGTTCCGGAGATGGGGAATTATTATTTTTTCTACACAACAAAAGTAAACATTACCTTCAGATAGAGCAGTGTGTGAATGGCACAGTTGGACTAATCAAGAATCTTTGTAATGCTACTGAGAGTCAAAAGTGGTATGTTTATGCCAGTTTGAAATAAACATTATAATGCTTGTAACTTAAACACAGGAAAATAAATGTGCATGTATTCACAGGAGGGAATACAGGACTTATCTTGTTCAAACTTCCAGATCTGACCTGACACCAAATTGCTTCTACCTACCTTTATTAAAACTTAGGTTGAACAAGCTGTTCTTGCTAATGGCAGCTCAGGGTCAGGTTCTGCCCTCATGGGTCTGGCCAGGCCAAATTCCACTGTCAGCATATTTGCCAGAGCTGCACTGTGGTTACACAGGAGTTTGATACGGTTCTTTATTTGAGATGGTATCTTTGTTAAAAAGTCTTGAGACTTCATCTTAAAACATTCAGGATACTGTTCTGTTTAGTTGTGTGGTTTTGGTGGTTTTTTCCCCCAGGATAGAATACTGTGGTTAATAACTTAATAGAGAAAATTGTACTTGTTTGGGAATGAAAAAGTATTGGTTGATAAGGATCTGTCTAGGTTCTCTATCCATGTATTTTCCTTATTACTGAAGACCAGAATCCAAGGCATGGTGGTGTGAATAGCTCCTTGCCCTCTTGAAGAGGTTGAACCCTGCTTCAGAAACTAATTCCAATCCTGCACTAAATTCTTGAAAGCTCTAGAAAATCCAGTGCATCTAAGAAGAGAAAGGGATGCACAGGCTAACACTGTAATGCTTTAAAAGGTTAAAGGCTGCTTCAAGCCAGCTGAAATGTCTTGTGCTGGTGACTTGCCTCATTGTCCATCTCAGCAGACAGTGTCCCATTTTACTCCTTTTCCTGCTGTCCACATTCAGTATTTCCGAGGGAGAGGAGGAATTTCAACTGAAGTCTTTCTGCTTTCTTTTATTTAATTAACTGTAAACTCAGTTGCATATATGGTTGAGTGCCAGAACAGTGTTTGAAGTTGAAGGCATTGGTATAAAAGTTTTCATATTGTCTTTTCTGTTGCTGACTCTTCAGTGTGTTTTTTAAAAAATGTAAAATCTTGTTGGATGCTACAGTTCTGCTTTCAGAATCTTCAGGTATTTTAGGTGAATTTTATATTTGTTCAAGAAAAAAACCCCAGTGTGAATTACTCTGCAGTAAACTGACAAAATAGGGGATAAGGTACTTTCAGTGGGGTCATGATGCTACTGCAGTCAAAGAACAAGCTGGCTAAATAAGCAGGATAACTTTCACTTAGTAAGAAACTATTCTTTCAGAAAGATCTTGATAATAATAATGAGTTATCTAAAATAACTCATTATTATGAGTTATTTTTCATAATAATGTTCTTTGTCAGTAAATTTTGCCGAGGTTTATTGTAAACATCCTTCCAAACATTCAGTTAGTAATTTTAAGTGTCTGATGTCAGATATCATGAGTTACCTTTTAACGAGTAGCTTTTTGAAAACCATACCATTGCAGACTATCTTAAGCATGGGTAGTTGCTAGATATTCCTTAGTTATGTCATCATGCTCTGATTTGGTTTCTCTTGTGTGTCATTTCAAATAAGAAGCTGCTACAATTGGAAGTTACAGTTGTATAGTTGGGAAATTATTTTATATAAAAACTGTGTGCCATTACATGAAAAAACTTCAACATTAATCCAACTCACCTGGAGTAACTGACAGCAAATATTAACAAGTATTAAGGACCCATTCAAGCACCAAGATTTTGTGTCCTGTCTAGCCAGATAACCATCACTTAGTCACAGCCAAATTACAAGAGCAATTCCAATACAAAAAGAATATAATGATCTGATTAAAGACACATTTCTTGCTAACACTGCTACTTCTAGTATTCCCTGAGCCTTAAACCAGTAAACATTCACAAAGGAATACCTAGTCTCTAAATTCCAATACATCCTAGGCCCTAAAGCCTGGGTATTTGCAAGAATGGGATGAGCCTGTTATTTCGCTGTAAATATTTGAGTGTACAAAGAGAAAATTTACCAGTAGAAACTTCAAGGCTTCTGTAGAACTCTAGTTCACCTGTAATTGTGGCAGATACCCCTCCTGTAAGTGAATTTCTACTCCCCTGTCCTCATTACTCTGGTTCTTTATTTTCTTTTCCTCCTTTACTAAATACAAGATTAAAAAAAGAACTTTCAACTTCTTTTTAAAATACACATTATGTTCAGGCCCCAGACTTGTGCACACCAGTACATAGCTACTCTGAGTCAATACTTGCTCTTGTGTCCTTATAGTAAACACCACAGTTTTGCAAAGTGAATCACAAAATTGGTTCCTTATACATAATTCACCCTGTTGGACACAGGATTATATCTACATTCATTTATCTATTGCACCTTTTAATGCTATTCACACTTCATTTTTAAATGCCAGTGCTCAAAACACAAAATTAACAACTGAACTGTTGAATCTCTAACACCTTAAGTTTACCTGTACAGAAGGAAACCATTGATCTGTTTTTTTCAGTCAGGAAGATAAAAAACTTTTCAGAAGAAGGAGATAAAAACTAATGTTTTCTTAAGATATGTAGGTAGGTATGTTCTCTTACATCTACCTTTCTGTATCATGAATCTTAAAAAATAAAACCAAAAGTAGCTTCCATCTTCAGTATGTCATCCTTTTTCACACCTTTGATAACAGACAATTTACTTCTATGTAATTCTGCAGTAAACTGTTTTGTTTTTTTTAATTTACAAGTTTGCCTCAATACTTTGTGTATACAATTTATGCCTAATTCACTCCTATGAAGTAAAATAAACAGTGGAGCTGCTCTTCTAAATGCATATCTACATAGTCTCTCCTTCCTGTACTTACTTCCCTGACATTTAAAAGAAACTATCTGCAGCTTATGGAGACGCGAGTTTATACTAGTTGGAACAGCTTACTTTTCAAAAATCCAGCCACAGTTAAAAACAACTGGTTCAAATATCCATAGTTGACACAGCTGCCCAAACATTCAGGCTCCACTACAGTCACATGAAGGTGTTGCCTTACGAGGCTTAGAGAGGGAGTGCTGCAATACAGCTCTCTGTACTTTGATTCTGTTAATGCATATTATTTGGATTGGTACCCTTTGAAGTGTATCTTTGAAAAGGTAAATAGCAAATACAACTTTTAGTACTAAACAGATGAAAGGTTTTGTGTCTTCTGTAAACAAAATCATTGTATCACTTCTGTTTTCTACTTTCCCAGCCAGCCCAGTTAGGAAAAAAAAGAAGTACATTGTTACATAGGTTTGGCATTGCCTGTTAAACCTGTTCTCTATTGCACTTTCGACACTTCCACTTTCACTACACTTGCTGACTAGTTGCAAAACTACGTCACGAACGGGCACATTCCGTACAGTAACAAGTTGCTTTGCTGCATCCATTTTCCTTGTATGGTTTTGGTTTTTGTATGGGGTGTTTTTCTTGTTGTTTGGTTGGGGTCTTCTTTAACTGAAAAAATGCACAGTCATTTCTACTTTCTTGTAGCATTTGTAGTGTAGCAGACACTACGGCTTACTCTGCAAGGAAGAAGCAATGCTGTCCGTGTCAAACTGGCATGACCTCCGATGTCGCCTCTTCCGCCGCCGGCTGAGAGTTTGTACCTGTCTGTGCTACTGGCACCACCACCGCGTCCTTCACCTCCGAGGGCTGCGTGCACGGAGAGCTTTTCTCCTCCAGTTTTTTGATGGTGTCTGGGCAGTTCTGAACAAAGATCACTCTGTTGTAGGCTTTCAACCTGCGCCACAGCTGGACGTAAACCTTACATTGTACATACATGAAGACCAGGCCTCCTGTGAATCCAATGGCCACCACAACGAGTTTTGTCCAGAACGGCCATTCGAGGACACCTTTGAAATAGAAAGTTTATGTTAGATATTGAATATCAAGCACTGTTTCAATAATGTATACAAAAAATAAGCCACTGGCTAAGAATGCCCGGGTATGTGCACGCTATTGGGGCAGTTGTGGCTCTAGAAAATAGATGGGGTTTCCTATTCCATAGGCCGGCCAAGAAACTGCCCATGCAATAGGAAACTGATTCCTACTTTTAATTGATTTAACCACCATTTGGTCAAATAAATCAACCAAAAAATCTATGCCACTCTCAAAATCTTTCTTTCAGTATTTCTTTCACCTTTTAACATTAAAGATAGGCTGCTGCTGCTTCTGTGGTAATACAGGAAGCGTATTTTTTAATTAACTGGTATGGTACAGAGAGTTTTGTATCCTCCTTTTTTTTCCAGGATTGCCATGTTTTCAGTCTTGAGCTTTCTTAGGAGAAAGGTCAGCTGAACCTAGATGTATTTCTTCAAGTAGAATAAATGTACGTGGAACTTGATTCCTTACCACTGGTGCCATATAAGTTCTAGAATACTTAAAATATATTTTAAATCTGCTTTTCTATAAAGCAGTGTCAGGTTTAGCAATTAAAGGGTTTGCATCATATACTTCCCTAAAGAGAAAAATGACCCCAACCCCTTAACTAATCTGAGATATCTATTTAAAATGGGATTTTTAAACTAGAATATTAACAAACAATACTAGTATTATTTAGGGTTTCAATTTTTCTCCTTCTCAAAATATGTTTTTAAAGTGTTTTTTCTTCAGTGCTTACTTGTCTTTGTCTTGGCAATTCCCATTTAAAGAGACAAAATGGGGAAGAAAGCAAACTACATACATGTCCTTCTTAATCCCCACAAATACACGTTTGCTTTTGTAAAAGTACTCTCCCCTGCAAGAACCAAATTTTGGAGCAAAAGCGTCCTCTTCACACTTACTTCTGCATGTTGTAAGTAGCTCCAGGATATCTCTTTGTCCATTTTTTAGTGTAAAGAATCAACCACTACATTTGGCAAATACTGAATGCTATACAAATCATAAATACTTTTTGAGCCTACCAGGACTAATGAACATGATTCTTATGCATTGTGTGTAACAACAAAACTCCCTGTTAGCTGTTTTGTTATGGAAATTCAGCTAATCTACAGAAATAGCTTCCCCTTTGTAATGAGTAGGGTGATGTAGTTGTACTCATAAATAGAAATTCAAAGCCATCCCTAGTCCTGTCCTCTGGGCCAGGTTTTTTGAGAAAAAACCAGGTTACCCATTTCAAAAGAATTCAAAACAAGACTTTGTAGTGTGTATTCATCTGTGACTTACTGAGGTTTGTTGCTTATTTTCATCTCTAAGGCAAGAAAGGCAAGCACCAGGAGTATCATCAAATATTTATCTAACTAGCAAGGCACAAAGCTCCACCTGTTTTGTTTTCCATGTTAACTTTGGAATATAACACAAGGCTAGAGACCTTTGTTCCTCTAGGGTGCTTAAATTCAATTCAGATCAAAACTCAAAAGCTTTTTATCGTTACATTTAAGACTGAATTTAAGATCAAATAAACTTAGATTTGAAATGGAAAACAGTAGTTAAATTTAGAATATATTTTCCACATATGCTAAGTATGGCTCTTACTGACATTAAGCATGCATTTTGTTACACGTGTCCAGTTGGATTTTCAGTATCTCTGCAGATAATGGCTCTTACTGACATTAAGCATGCATTTTGTTACACGTGTCCAGTTGGATTTTCAGTATCTCTGCAGACTCCATGACTCCTCTGTTCCAGCATGTAACCAATAAATACAGCTGGAACATGGACATTCACAGTGAAATTCTATTTGAAAGGACACAGGAATGGCTTTCCATGCTATCAAGTCCCACATGAAGGACTAACACAAATGGAAAACAGTCTCTTGGAAGTTTGTATTAGGAAGGCTGTAAATGAAGAGGCTCTATCGTACCTTACATCCTATCAAAGTTCAAGTGATTAATACAAATAAATTGCTATTTAAGGGCCTGAACTTGCACTGAGCTGTTGGAACTTGACTCATCTTTTTGCCTGAGCTTTAGAATTACCTAGATAATGGGAGATTAACGCAGGAAAGAAGCAGCAGGCCAGTTAAGCTGCTGTAATGATTACACAAAGTAGAGTTCTCTGGGCTGGGGCATAAGGTAAGATTCACGCATTCAGAACTTCTGCATTAAAGCCTCTGGTGTAGGCATGTGAGCTGTTATTCAAGAACAGAATGCGACTGGTTAGAGAGCTGCCTTTCAAAGCCAGGCACTGCATTACCAGCAGCCCTGAAGAAGGTAAAAGATACTTACCGTTATCATTGCCTTGTTTAATTTCTTCAGCCGTTCTGTCAATTAAAACATACAATGACCAAACAACACAGGTAATTGCAATTATATGGAATGTGACTGAACACACAATTTTTCTCCTCTCACTTGTTGTCATCTGTAATTTCTCCCACTGAAATTAAAAATTAAAAAAAAAGTAATTAAAAAAATCAGACTGGTAAAATTTGACATTAAACTGATTAGGCCATTGTGGTGCTTTCTACCAAAAAACACAAGCAGTAATAAAATTAACAAATCCTTTAGTTTTGGTAATATGCATTACAGGAGTGTGTCCATTGTCCCTGTTAAATTCACAACGATCTCATTTTCACAGATTCAAAGGAATGAAGGATACTGTTTCTGAATGAAACATTCTGTTTCTGTCTGCTTGTGAATGATATCCTAAGTCATTTCATTACAGTACAGCCATAAGATGTTAATAGACAGATAAAAAGATTAATATTTACTTTAAATTTGCATTTCTGGTGGTGAGAAGAAAAAGCCCAAACATCTGTTTGCAATATGTATTAAAATTATAGGAATGCAGCCATGGAACAGTCTTCCCATAAAATAAAAGCACAGGAAATGCAACTGCATTGAGGATTAAATTGAATAAACTCAAAAAGATGATTACATGGAAATGATCATATGATAACAGCCAAATAGCCTCAGTAATGCAAGGAGGATCTTCCAGGCACGTGTTTGTGAATTATGGTGCTAAATCCTGGCTTAAGTTAAGGCTATTTTAAGATGAAACAGGCTATTTTCTGCAATTGAACAATGCAGCTCTTGAGGCGATTTTTTTAAATCTCACTTGTGACATGGGGTTTTTTCCCAGCACTTGTTCAAAACAAAACCTTTCTCTCTTAAAACATTTGCTTTTGAAAACAGATGAAAGAACAGAGCACTTAAAAGGAAAACGCCTCAATTCTGATGGATAATCTTGGAGCCAGTACTGGCATCTGAGGAAGGAAAGCAGTACAAAGCATGAGATGCGAGTGCCACCTCCCTGCGGCTCTGTGAACACCGGACTGAGCTGCACTCAGCTCGGTGACACAGCACTGCTGCCACCTGCTACGGCCAGGACAGCAGCCACAGCCTCTGCAGAGCACTGCCATACTGCTCATTTACTGCCAAGCTGTGAGTTTGTCTTGGATTTCCTTGTTTAAGCTTTTGTATTGGTTTGGTTTTATTAGCTGTTTTCACTGTTGGGGATTTTTTTAAATCTTGTTTCCAGGCAGTAACAAATTTTTCTAAATTCCTTAAGGCTACAGGTGGAGATGCCATCCAAGCTAGATGTTTAGTCTTTAACCTGAACCACAATAGCCGTTCTACTCTGAACACTCTCTGCAGTCATGTTATGTTTTGAAGGAGCACAGCTGCAGTAAAACCTGATGAGGGTCAGTGTCATGTCACCAAGGGGAATAACTCTCAGAAATACTTCTTCCTGCTTGTAGAGCAGGACATACCAGGCCAAAGAAACACCAGCTTTTAATGGTAGTTAAATCTTGCATGTTTCAGAGCTGTTGCCTCAAAACACACTCTCTAGAACATTTTCTAGCCCTTGTCAAAATTCTGTGAATCACAGAATACTTTGGCTTGGAAGGGATTTTAAGAGTCATCCATTCCAACCCCTCTGCAATGAGCAGGCACATCTGCAATCAGACCAGCCTGCTCAGAGCCCCATCCAGCCTGACCATAATGTTTCCCAGCATGGGATACCTACCACTTCCCTGGGCAACCTGTTCCACTTTTTCACCATCCTCGTAATAAGAAGTTTCTTCTAAATGTAGTCTAGATACACTCTTTTTTTTTCTTTTTTTTTGTTTTGTTAAAAATCCTTACTCCTTGTACCACTGTAACAAGCCCTGCTAAAAAGTTTGCTCTATCTTTCTTACAGGTCCCATTTAGGTACTGGAAGGCCACTATAAGATCTCAAGGCCTTCTTTTCACCAGGCTGAACAGCCCCAATTGTCAGCCTTTCCTCGTAGGAGAGGTGCTCCAGCCCTCTGATCATTTTTTGTGGCCACTTCTGGACTCTCTCCAACACGACCTCAGTGGGCACCCCAGAGCTGGATTCAGCAGTCCTGGTGGGGGTCTCTCAAGAATAACTTCTCCCACGCTTCATGAACACATAAAGAATAAATTACTGATTATAAAAACATAAATATTTCCTGAGTAATATACAAAAAGTCAGAGCCATTGGCTTATTGGCTGAGACCTCATTTCAGTTTCTGATACATCTACTTTTGAGTGAAAACTAAGCTTGCTGGGTTTTGTATGGCAGAGATATAAAAAAAGGTTCATTTTGTTTTCTTTTAAGTAATAACCCCCCAAACTTTATGTTCATTATAGTTCATGTAGGTAATACTCAGTGGTCAGACCAGAGAGTATGTGGCATTATCAGTCTTATATCACTACAGTCACCAGGTTACATAGCCTTTGACCTGGAGATTTTAATTTTTCTGCAGTGAAAATTCAATTCAAGTCTCCTAACAGACTTTCTTTCCAAAGAAAGAAACCTTGTCTTTGTCCAGGTGGAAGAAAGGATTTTACCTTAACCCTTCACTTACCTGTGGGCACTTTGTGAGAGACAACACAGAACATAAGGAAGAAAGATTTGTTCTTAAATTGATTTTGTCTGTTATCTTAACTTTGATGCTACACCATTTGGACTGTTGGAGAGAAGACTCTCAGCAAAATTTTCATAGTCATATATACATGCAGTCTTTTTATAGCCATTTTGCTCTCTAACATACTCAAAAGCCTTTGTGTAGATCTTAATGCCCAGGCAAAGACAAATGCTGGTCCCATTAGTCTAAATGTAAACATTTGTAGGTGGAAAAAACCCAGACGAAATAAACCAACCAACAGGCAGGATAGGTAAATAAAGGTTCAAAAACACACTACAACACCAGCTCACAGAGTTCTGCTGCCATTTGCAGGAAAGGTATCTCAGGAGAGGAAGCCAGCAGAAATTGGCTGAAGCAGGCCTTTCTGCTAACATCCCATGATCAAATCCAGCCAGAAGGCAAGCCAAGGCCCACTGAATTCTGCTTCTTTCTCCAGCTGGCTCCTTTTCTTCTCCCACAAGACAGCCTGCCTTGCCTGTCTATTCTGTCCACACACATGTTACACACCAGACAGAAGGTGGCTACCAAGACACTGGGAGAGGTCACCAGGGCACAGGTGGTTATGGGACTGGGAGACTGCAGAATATCTTGTACTCCAGTTTGGAATACAGGAAAGGAATAAGGTCCGAGGAGAGACTCCATTTGTCATGCACAGATACCTGGGAGCATTTTACAGCTCTTAGCATGCTCCAAAGCTGCTCTTTTGTTTTGCCCTGCCCTTGCTGCAGTCATAATTCTCTCAACTATGGTGATGATGAGCTGAACTCAGAAGAAAAAAAGCAATTAAACTTTGTGCTGTACTTCTGGTGATCCCAGTGGTAGCTGATGTAACTTCCCCATCCTACTCATGTATTTTAGATTGGCTGAACAGAGAGTACTTTGTGAATAGATGAATCATGCTCTACTACATGAGTGATGTTAGTAGATGAGCCAGCAATTTATGTCATCCTGGAGCAGAAAAGTGCATTTCCCTATTTTAGGATTTTTGCAATGGGCTTGTATCAAAAAATTAACTGTTAGTTTTAGCACAGACTTGCTTGGACAAAAGCACAGTTATGTGAAATAAAAATTGCTGGAAAATCCATAACAAAGGATGAGACAACAATGTAATGAACAATGAAAGCATCAGCCCCTTTTACTTTTGCTTTATAGTCTTTATAGTCCAACAGCCTAAGGTTGCGTGAGGAATTTTGGCAGGCGCTGCCTTTCATGTCACATAGTGCGTTAATGCCTCCTTAACCTCTGATAAATTCATCCCTGCTGTGTTTTGAAGCTCCTGCAGTTCTCATGGCTTTCCACATTCACAGTAGAAAGATAAAAATAAATTGTGCCATGTTTTATTATCTTCATCAGTGATCTCCAAGAAAATACAGCAATCAGGTTGATGACACTGTGACATGCCATGGATAGAATATCAGATGCTACCAAGAACAAAAAACAGCACAAAATTAAATACACAGATGCAATTTTCTTTGGGAATTTAGATATTAATGCTCCTAAGGTGCTTTAGATACTGTAATGACAGAAATAAATGGTAACAGCCAGAGGAGACGTTTATAATGACTTGCAAATTATTTAGTCACTAAGTTCAAAGAAAAACCTGTAGCTTTTGCCCAGCCCCCTACAAAACACCCCTTCACCGTTGTCCATCTAATTGTCACACCCACAGATTCTGTAATCCTGGCAGCAATACAAACACAGCCTGGAAATCATCACAAATGCAGATGGTTTAATGTCCTGCAAGCAACCGCATGGATATCATAATGTTTCACAGAACAGGTGTGCTAGAACACTTTGTAGCATCTAACCGGAACCAAAAGATCTTTTAAACAAGTCACCAAATAAATCCAACGTGTAATAAAAATCCAAATGTCTCCCGCAGAAAGCTTGGAATATCCCCAGCCCCTTTTATTTTCTGAATAAGCTTTCCGAACAGGTCGCTTGCACTGTGCTCTGAAAACCACTGGAGGGTGGTAGGAGACTGCCTGACTCAGGTTCCCACCAAGAATGAAAAGAAGCTGGACTGTGAATGTGATCAGAAACACTCGTCCCACCCCAACTACTACTTACAGCTGCTTCTAAGACACATTGTGCATCTCAGCTGGAATTCCTGTGCTTTACTGCCAGAGAAGTTTGGAATAATCTTTAAAGTGGCAGCTGTAATACTGCACCCTGTTCTAGGTTTCTACCTCATGTTTTGTTTTGGTTTCCTAAAGAAAATTTCACTCAGAAACTTGAGAGAATGGGTACTGATTTCAAATCCCACTCTTGTAATTACAAAATGTAGTCATGGGTCTTCTGGGGAAATTTAAAAAAAAAAATTTAAACACTCACCAAACCCTAAAACATACAGGGAACTTTAAATCATGTGCAACCAACCACTTCCCTTTCCTGTAAAGTAGTTTGAGAAAATCTCTCATATTTATTTTAAAGAACAAAAATCTACCTTCCTGCATACACTTCTAAAAAAAGCTTGATTAATCATTATGCAACAGGTAAT